AAATCTGATATTGTTAGTCTTTTACTTAAAATGTTTGTTTTCTTTCTCTTTGCCTTTAAGCTCTACAAACCCTTCTTCGTATATTACACACAAAGCCTTTTTTGCTCTGCCTACTAGTGGCGCTGTGGGCTAATGCGCCAGACTACAAAGCCGTTTGAATTGCAAGGTCGGCGGTTCAAGCTCACCAGCTGCTCCTCGGAAACCCTATACAGGGTTGCTATGGGTTGGAACTGACTTGATGGCACTTAACAACAACAACAACAACAACAACAACAACAACAACAACAACAACAACAACAACAACTTCTCTTACTTTATCCCTACCAATTCACTTTCCTCTTTACCTCCATTCCCACTCAAAAGCCTCCATTGCACTTGTTGAGTGAATTATTGTTCAGTACTTGTGACTTCCTTTATCTGAAGAATGTTTGGATGTTTCCGCAAGCCACCTTATGGCAGCCAGCAGATATCTCCCATTCTGACTCCTTGGTCTGAGCAGTGAGTGTTATTATTTTAAAAGCATTTCAAATGTCAACTTCTGCAGGAAGGCTTTCCTGATGACCCTTTTTTCCTAATCTTCCCTTAAGTGCCTGTTACGTGCTTTTTGAACAACATGCTCTTGACTTAATGTCTACCTTCAACTCCTTAGCTCCTTAAAGACAACTCTTGTTCATGTGTCCAGTGCTTGGGGGCATTATGTTGTTGTTAAGTGCCTTTAAGTTGATTTTGGCTCATAGTGACACTAGGGTTTCTGGGAAGCAGCTGATCTATTTGAATTGCCAACCTTGCCGTTCAAACCGACCTTGTGGTCCAGTACATTGTTATTGTTAAGTGCCATAGAGTAGAGTCGGTTCTGACTCATAGCGACCCTGTATAAGATAGCTGAGGAGCTGCTGGTGAACTTGAACTGCTAACCTTGTGGTTCAAACAGACTTTCCAGTCTAGGGCATTAACCCTTAGTGCCACACCAGTACTTCCTGGTCCAGTGCATAGGGTCCCATTAAATATATTGGCTGGCTGGCTGGCTGAATGGTTTTTGCTTACAAATTATTGTTGTTGTTAAGGGCTGTTGAGTCAATTCAAATAATAGTGACCCTGTCTGTATAGGGTTTCTGATGAGCAGCTGTGGTTGGTTTGAATCACTGACCTTAAGATTCACAGCCCAGTACTTATCTTATATAGAGCCATACCAGGATTCCAAATTAGATACAAATAATATTTTTATTGAAATATAATTCATATTGCATACAATTTACTCTTTAAAGTGGATAATTTAGTGATTTTTAGTATAGTTATGAGGTTGTACAGCCAGTACTCTTTATTAAAAATATAATTTCCTCCCCTCTACCCACCATCCTGTTATCCCTCATTTTCCCCTCCTTCCAGCCCAGGTAGGTGTTCATACTTGCCAACATGGATAAATCTTGAAAACGTTATCGTATATGAAAGAAACTAGACTGAAAGAAGCCAAGGCACAAAAGGCTGAGTGTATTATTCCGTTTTTGTGAAATGTTTAGATTACCTAAATCCATAGAGGCTGAAAGAAGATTAGAGGATGCCAGGGGCTAAGGGAATGGAAGAATGGGTTGTTGTTGTTGTTGTCAGGTGCCATCGAGTCAGAACCGACTCATAGCGACCCCATGCACAGCAGAACGAAACAATGTCTGATCCTGGGCC